GAGCAAGAGCAGTAGTACTGCTCCTATGCTAATAAAAATGCCGGAGCAGAAGATTCTCCCTTCCTGCATGGCTTGCCTGGCCAGCAAGGTTGGGATCACTGCTCTGTGAGACCACTGAGCACTCCAGCCCACTTCGGTGCAAAGTCAGACAGATTAGATTGAATCATCACTAAAGAACAAAAAATTTGTCTCCTAACAGTAATTAACGGTTGCCTTCTTTTATATTGCTTTTAATTTACAGAGCTTCAGTCATGGCTGAACTATTCTGTATGCTATTCATTAGCTGATCACATGCCACTGCTAATTTTTTTCAAATGGATTCACTATTTATAAATGTTCATCAGTTTGTGCTGACACATGAGGGAAGGGAGGGACATATTTACACCATCTACTTTATGTCTTTCATGCAGATGCTTTGCAGTTCTCCTTTGGAGGGATTGACCTCTCTCGTTTACCAAAGATGCAACTTTGGCCCCTAAAGCTATTTGTATGACATTCATCTATGTGCTATGCCTGAACTAGACAGTTTAAGACTCACCACCCTTTTCTCCTTAGACTTCAACCATCTAATCAGTCCATTCACCTTTGTCTGCACAGTGGGCCAAGTTAGTTGCATGTCATTGGTACTGCTCCTCAATCACTGAGGTTTTTTACATTGAAAAAAATGCACTTTTAGAATAGAATAGAATAGAATAGAATAGGATAGGATAGGATTGTTCCAGTTGGAAGGGACCTACAGTGACCATCTTGTCCAACTGCCTGACCACTTCAGGGCTGGCCAAAAGTTAAAGCATATTATTAAGGGCATTGACCAAATGCCTCTTAAACACTGGCAGGCTTGGGGCATTGACCACCTCTCGAGGAAGCCTGAATATAAATTTTAGGGTGAATAAATTTCATGCTAAAAATTGCTGGTTTTTTAGGGTTCATGAATATCAAATGGGTTGCTTGGTGGCTGCCTAAGTAACAGGTAACACACATCTCCCTGCTGTATTTCACAGAGCAAGCCAGTTAGTTTTGGTACTATTAAACCAACTCTGCTAGTAGTTGAATTTTTTTTTGGTACAACCTCAGCCCTAATTAAACATTTATAACCTCACATAGCTAGACACAATACAAGTCACCCTGGCTGAGAGACCTTTGCTCACGGAAAATCAGCATTTGATGTTCAAAAGACGGAATGGAACCAGCATGTTAAAGCATCTACTCACTATCCAAACAGTCCCTATTGTTACAGTTATTGCCAGTAATATCCTGTTTGTCACTGGGATAGCACTTTGGTTCGCCTGCCCTAGAAATAGCCATTTACCTTGTGGCTAAACCCTTTCAGTGTGGGACTTGGAATTTCACTAAAGGTAAGAAAACCTGAAGGCTCTGGCCTTCAGCAAAACCTCTTCAAAATGCCCTGAGAAATAAGCAGATTCGTAAACTTCCACGCACCCAACACAAGAACCCAGTTTTGTATCCAAATAACAAATTTGCCTTTCCCATCTGTCTGGCATTGCTGCTGACGCTACTTTACATCCATCACATCCCAACCCTGGCAACAGGCCCTGAACAAATTCATTTTTGTGGACTGTGGGTGAAATCTGTGGCAGAATATTGCTAGTGTGGAGCTAATAACTGGTTTGGACTTTTGTACAGTGCAGCTGCACACATGGTGAAACATCAACAGCCTTTCGTCCCAGGCATCACCGTATCTGAGTTGTAAATGCTGTGTGAGTTATCTGCAGGAAGCCTGTTCTTTCCTGGGGTGAAATCCATGTATTGCCATTGATTTTCTTAGAGGCAGGCTGGGCCCAAATTTTATAAAGTGGTTTCGAGCCCTTTCATGTGAAAGGCACTGAATAAGTACCATACAGATCTAATACTGTTGGAGCTCAGCCCTCTGAAGGGGCTTCCTCTGGGCCACCCTTGTCAGTATGTTCACCTGTTTCGCCTGTCCCTTTGAAACCTACCCCAGGTATGCAGCTAAAAAGATGCGATGCAGCAGGGCAAGTAAATGTAGCTGGTGCTGCGGGGCCATGAACGGTTAATGCCTTGGCCACGGCAGTGGTGCGTCTGGAGCTTTTCCCAATGCTGGGCTGGATAGCATCACTGTCTCCCCTGAGTCGCTGGAGTCGCGGCAGTGAGAAACTGCTCTGAGATCACCACTGGAATCCTTGATTTTTAATGCTTCCCCCCCCCGCGCCTTTTTCCATTAGAAAGAAGGAAATTGGTAAATGCCCTGGGACTCACAACCAGGTTGTGACCTGGTGAGGCAAGAGGAAGTGTTTGCTAACACACCACTGCTGGTAATAACGCCTGGGTGAAAAACCTTCAATGGAAAGTGCAGCTTTGCAAAAATCTGCAGCAATTAATTGCTTTTGAGCATTTCCAGCACAGAAGAACTGAATCAAATGGTTTCAGCTTGTTTGGGAAAGTTGAAACAATTGGTTTTGGCAGGGGCAAGGGCAGGGGCAGACAAACCAGTTCCCTGGGTGAAATTCAAACGTGGTTTTTGAGAGCCTCAACCACCCTGCAGGATCTGCCCATGTGTGCAGCCTCCCTGTGTGCCGCGGTGACTCTGGTATCACCATGCCCATGGTACCGCTGTGCCCATGGTACTGCCGTGCCACCTCTCCCCTTGACCGTGGGCTGCCACGCAGATAGATGTGGAAGGGGCTGTTGCAACAGAATGTCCTAAAGGCTCAGGGGTAAGGTTGCCCCAGGTGAGCTCTTTTCTTTCTCAATACCCACAGTATTTTAAATAGGTTATGTTGTACTTTATGCCATCTAATATTTTTATGTTTTATGAGTGGCATTTTTTCCAGCACTCTGCTCCAGAAGTAATTTCCACTGCTCAATTCTGTGTGCAGTTTTGTAGTGAAATTGGTTTAAAAAATGATGGGATTTCTCAAAAAACTGAAATTCCATTTTTGATCAATGCTAGTTTTGACCACTGCTGCTGGACAGGGTTTGTCTCAGAACAGCATGTTAATATACAGAGCTATTTTTTCCCTTATCTTTCTGAACGTTCTCATTGAAAACATTCTTAGTTTATATTTATGTGCTATAATAGTTAAGAAGGCAAATAAGAATAGCTGGAGATATTTTAGAGGTCTAAATCTTCAAACCCTGAAAATGTAGCTTGATTCAAAAGCGCATGCATACTGCTTTTACCTGGCACCCTAAGGAAATAAAGATTACGCAGCGACACTCTTCATCTTCCCATCCTTCTCTCAGCCCTCCTCTCCCTCAGTAACTTTTGAGCCCACCGGCAATTTCTACCACTTCTGACAGAGAGGAAATGAAATCAAAGCAAGTCCCTGCGAGTCACCTGCGGCTGGGTAGGGAAGAGAAACTCAGGATGGTGCCCCCACCGAGTGCCAGCCTGCCTGGCTGGCGTCAGCGCCTATGTGTGTGCGCACACGTGTGCCCCCACGCTCACACCAAAACCACCCAGCCCGCAGGACGATGCTTACATGGTCTGGTACCGGCTATCACATGGGTTTTTCCATATACAGAGGTATTTGCAGGGCACGGGAGGGAGTGAAGGGCAGTGGGTGCTGGGACCAGCGTATTGCTGGGGAGCGAGGCTGTAAGGGACAAGCAGATCTCAGCTTATCATGGGAAAGTGGGTGCTGTTACAATATAAGACAAAGGCTTTCTTAGGGTTTTTGGCTCATGGAAGTACTTATTTCCACCATGCAATATTCTTATATCTTGCCTGGGTAAAGTTTTTTTTCTAACATGGTCATTTAATCTCTCTGGTGGGAGGGGCAGAGGAAAGAGAGCGTTGCTTGCATTAGAAGTGACGCTGCCCACTCTTGTGGAGGAAAAGATCTTCACATTTCCATGGATCAGATTCTGCAATTACACAGCTTGCTTGTTTGGCCAGTTCATCTGCTAAACCTGACATGAAGCCAGAATGAAAACAGAGATTTTCCCATTACAGAATACCAAATCTATGATAAGCCACGCCATGAAAATTCAGTTTTTAAGGAGGTGGGGAGAGAACGAGGGAAACTCCAACTGCTGCTGCAAGATAAGCAATGAGTTTTGCTTCTAGAATCTGTTTCTCAGGGATCTCATAAGAAACAACAACCGTAAGCCAAAGGAGCAGTGAGAGAAGAAAACCAGCAGAATTTGGGATAGGAAAATTTAAGCAGAAGTTTGAGCAACAGTTTTAGCCTATCACACCATCTGCATGATAACTTTGGACACAGCTGGGTAAAGTAAATAATTGCTACAGAAAGAGGCCTGTGAATATTGTACTTAATCTGTGGGTCTGTTTTGCACAGTGATGCAGAGAACATCATCGATGATTTTGACTATGTTCCTATTTTTTTCTTATACTACAAATTCTCTCATTATAAAGTACTCAAACCAATCACTACTTCTGCTTTCCCTACCATCAAGTTATAGTATTAAAATGTATTTATAGATGGAGTAACAAATGTCTCTGAAAGGAGAGCTATATTCTGACAGCACTGAAAGAGGCTATGCTGGTTTTCTCAATGATTACTCCTTGAATAGGATATAAATATTGTAATTTATGCATCATTTGACATGAGACACAAGATCACTGATAGCATATATTTTTTTGTACATATACATAAAATAGAGAGAGACTCTTCATCATAACTGCAGCCTGTGAAGTTCAGAACTTCAGAATTTCCAAAACAAAGCAAGAATACAAATTGATGGAGGCTGAATTATATTTGTTGTCCCAAAAATCCAGTGGATTTAATTGCATCCCTAACGCTGCTTATTTGCCAAAACCAAAATAAAAATCGGAAGCAAACAAATAAGTTCTCTGAATAAATCCTGCATTGCCCCAATTGTATGAGCTGCCATCTAAGCTGCCTGGCTACCATCCAGGCCTGAATCACATTCCCGGACAAGAAGTAACCCATACATCCCCTTTGAACCGTCCTCTCCTCTCCTTGATCTTCCTTTACCTCCCACATGGCCCTCCTGCAGCTCTCAATTAAATTTCTTTCAAAGCACTTTCTTACCTGCATAGTGGTCAAACACAGTGGGGACATACTCCTCTGGGAAGGCATCGTTGGCATAACTCATCAGCAAACAGGTTTTCCCAACTGCACCATCCCCAACCACCACGCATTTTAACATCTTCTTCGTGTTATTGCTGCTCCCGTCAGTGCAGTTGTCATCTTCTTCCTTGCAGTTCATTCTTGCTGCTGCTGCCGCTGCCGCTGCTCTTGCTGCTCCCAGGACTTCCAAGTGCACATGAAGGAAAAATGAAGTGCGATTGTATTGACTTTTCCTGAGTTTGGAGCGGGGGGGGCAGCAAATCTCAAACTCAGGAAATCATACTAATGTTTCCAGGCTGTCAAAGCCGCTTCTAACAATTACCAGATCAGTCAAGAGAATCATCGAGGTGAATAAATTAAATATACAGAGAGGAATATCATAAAAAAGCGATCTGTCCTTTCTTGTTCATCCGAGTCAGGAAATCCTCATCCTGCCCCGGAGTTCTCAGTATTTATTGCGACTTAAAAAATATCAGCAGCCTGCGGCTTTGATTCGCGTCTCCCTTCCTCCAGCTTGGCTGCAGGAATCAGGGATTCCTGTTAAATCCACTCCATTTTCCATTTCATTTCTAACATGGAGGAGAGCCTGGAGGTTTTTAATGGAGTTTTTCCTTTCTTTCTCCAGCTTGCTGTGTGTCAGGAAATCATGGGTTTCCTGCTGAATTCCATATTAGGATCAGTGGGCTTGTGAAGGGCTGCAAACAATGGGAGCTCTGTGTGTATTTGTACTTTGGAGGAACTCTGCCAGGACATGGAGAAAGAAAAACACTAGAGGTCTCTCTGCAGACCGAAGTTTTTAGGCTTCCTGCTTCATCCCGTGCTTGAGCTGCTCTTCGGGCTGCCGGCACCAAGACCGGTGAGGAGGATTTCGGAGAGGTTATGAAAGATGCGGGTGTTGGACCTACGTGGCCAGGCGGGGTACGGGGAGGCTGCCAGCTGTGCCCATGTCTCAGGGTTGTCTGTTGTTCCCAGGCACGATCTCCTCTGGTCTCGGGATAGGTATTTTCTTACATTCGGGAGGGGAAGGTGGGAGGTGGAAAGGCAGACAGGAGGTGTCGTGGGTAGGTAGAGTTTAATTCAACTTTCTCTGTGTCTATAGCTCTTTAAAGAACTTTGTTAGAAATAATAAATAATTGATTTTTCAATTCAGGCACTCAGAAAGTACCTCTTGCATTTCCCCTCATCCACCCAAAAAAAAAGAAAAAGAGGGATTTCCCCCCCCCTAGTTTAAATATGTAAACACAAACAGAGATAGAGAGAAAAAAAGAGAAATTAAGAGTTACAGGAATTAAAAAATTAAAAAAATAAAACCACCGCATAGCAGTCTGCGGAAAACCAGCTTTGAACTGCATGATTCCTGTCCCCTCATCTATTTTGTTCTAGTGTTTCACGTGCCTCCTAAGTCTTCCCTCAATTTAAATATATAACAGCCTATATGCACATGAAGGGCCAAACTCCCTGATCCTTCCACAGGAAAGATTTTGCAATTTCCAGCAGAAACGAGCCAGACATTAACATAAACCCCAGTACAGCAGCCCAGCACATCCTGCTGGCTGCATTTCCCTTCCATGAGACTTGAAGGCTTTGAAAGGGGGAAACAACTGGGGAAACACACCGGTGCTAAACACTTCCCCTGCCTTGCTTATGCCTGGCTAGAAAGAAAAGCCCAAAAGCAGACACAGGCTTGGAGCGATGCACACCTGGAAGTGTAAAGACCAACACAACCTTAAAAAGGAATTGTCTTAGCCTCAAACTGCATGAGTAAAGACAAACTCAACCTTAATAATGAACCTCCTTAGCCCCAAACTGCATATCCTTCAATGTTTGCAGTGAAGGGGCTCAGCAGACCCATTCCCGGTCTTCCCTGGACAGGCTAAGCCCCATGTCTGTCAGAGCTCTTCAGTGATGTAAGTGTATGCTGGATCAGCTCTCAACACCTTCCCCAAGAAGTGGTAACTGGATAAAACACATGAACGAGGTTGAACAAGGTTTTTCTGTTTACCTGGAGAGCCCCAGGGCTCCATTTGCCACCTCTTATCAGGAGTCTTGGTCATTCAGTAATTTGTGCACCATGCCCCATGCTCTTCATCTTCTTCATGTCCTCCTCCCTGTTGATGACAGGGATCTTTGTAGGCAGTGTTAGGCCCAGCATCACACCTGCTGTCAGAGGGCATCACTAAAGGGTTTCCGCAGTTAGAAGTTCAGGTGGCATCCTCTTAGCTTCAAAACTATAGCCCAATGCTGAGGTTTATCCAACAAAACTTGTGAGCTCTGGGCACCTAAACCACCATTCTCCAAGCAGTTGCTCTGCATTTCCACCATCAGCAGCACAGCTGGGTCATCCTGGGGGGGCATCAAGTGTTAACAGGGTTTTGTTCTTTAAGCTTCTTTCTTGTTGCAGTTGGGGCAAACTCCAAGCTTGTGTCTCTGTCTGGTTATTACATAGCTGAGTAGGTGCACAGATACCCCCTATGCCTTTGCTTATTAACCTAGTGACCTTGTTGCCAAATATATGAGTAAGTGCATGCTGTTGCAAGGTAACAACAGACCCTGAGGAGGCAAAAAATTCCAATAATTCACGGTTCAGTTCCCCATTGCATCTATCAGACAAAAGAAACGGCTCTCACTTCCCTTTTTATGCAGGCATAACCTATCTGCAAGCTTTTTCAACATCAGACATACCATAGTTAAGGCAAACCTTAATGCTAGTTAGGCCAGATTTAGGCCTACAACAAAATCCCCATGGCTCATTCCTCCGTGCTCAGCAGGGCTGTGTTGCTTTGACCATAAAGCTGGGGAAGTCTCAGCAGCACTGTGTCCACCTCAATTTTTTTTGCAAGAGGTTAAACAATGAAATTCCCTTGCTGTTTCTCTAGAGGCTTTAAGATACTTTATTATCCTCTCCACCTTTTTTTAAAGGGTCTTTCAAAATTGCTTAAAGGGGTTGGCTTTTGTGATACTCACACTATCAAGGGGCTGAACCGGAGGGTCTTTGCAGACCCTTCCAATTCTAAGCTTTGATGTATGGAAAGCTTTGCAGGGAACCAGTTTTAGTTAAGATGCACCAATAAAAGAACTTGCATCCCTTAGCGTGCGCAACAGAAGCGCAGCTGCGCTGTTAGAGCCTATCTAAAGGCTTGCCTGGAAGAGGCCAACAGGACGAGTTTATCTGGAGGTGAGGAAGGCTGACATCTTGCCTGTACAACTCAAATTCAGTGCTACATTTTTGCTTTACCTATACAAGTGATACGTACAGCTTTAGAGGAGTTATGATGAAGTTATAAAATAAGACCTGTATCTGAACTGAAAACACGTTTTCTTTAATCTCATTACTTTAACTTGGTTTGGCATCATTCAGATCAGCTGCCATTAACCAACTTAAGAGCTGGTTTAATTGCAACAAAGTATAATCACATTGTTTTACACTTTTCTCTCAGGAGACTGAGACAACATTAACCCCTCTGCTACTCTGGGGTTGTACCTTACTTGCAAAGTTGGCCCTGAATCTGCTGTGTGAATTAACTGCCAGTCCTGTCGTCTAGCAGTCTAGCAAAGTTTGAGACAATCCTGTTACATTTTACAGAAGATTTCTTAACCTGTAAATTGCAAGTGGCGGTACTTTAGGTTAAGCTGACCCTTCTGCAGTTGCTGTGCAAGTTTCAGCTCCCCTAAGACTGCTTCTGCACAACGGAGCTGCCTACGAGCCCCAGCGTGGAAATCACAGGGTTATTGATAATGATTAGCAAAGCTCAGAAGGTCTGGTGATTTAATCTGGATCCAGGGCATTTTTGCTCTTTCATTGATCAGGTTAAAAATGGTCAGATTTGCTCACAAGATCTCAGCCTTTCCCATCTCACAAATCCCATAAGAGCAGGCCAATTCCAAGCCATAAAGTTTGGAAAGATGCGGCTGAAGTGAAAAAGTAAACCCAACTAGTCTGAATGCTTGGAAAGCTTGTTTAAATGCATGTGGTTCTCTGGTATCCAACCCGGTTTGTTTCATACTCATTTTACAAGCTTCCAGCCAAGACCACCATGGCAAGAAAGGAGGCTAAAAGAGACCATAATAGATACGGGCAGGTGCTATTAGCACTGTGGAGTGAAGATGTCACCTGAGGCACTTTCTAACAAAGTTTCTCAAGCAAAGACCTCTGCTTTAGATGAAGTGCCTCTGACCTTTTGTTAATTAACAAATTAACTGGCAGCAGATCTATTCTTGGGACTGCAGAGTATGTCCAACTCCCACACATCTGTGTGGAAGCATCAGCTTCATCTTCATCAGCACAGGTCTGACAGGGCGGTCCCTGGAGCTACTTCCTTGGGGATTAGCAAGTTGAAGGCTGGTGCAAGAAATTTTGGTGAGAATATCTGTAGGAGATGAAGGACTTGCAAATTTGTTAATTAGCTCCGCACTGAGCAATATGTTTGCCAATTAACTCTATTCTGTATTTCTCTGCAGGCTTGCAGAGGGAAAAAAAGGCTATGATGCTGTATTGCGCTCTCCCTGCTCTCTTCATAGAATCACAGAATAGTTTGGGTTGGAAGGGACCTCTAAAGGTCATCTAGTCCAACCGCCCTGCTGTGGGCAGGGACATCTTCAAATATTTAGGTTCCCAAAGAACCCCCCCAACCCAACCCGGAAATTTCCCAGGAGAGGGCACATCTCCCACCTCTCTGGGCAACCTGTTCCTCTCCCCCTGGCCAACCCTGCTACTCCCATGTTTCTCCCCAGTGCCTCCTGCAATGCAGTGGTCTTCCTTTGTGCAACCTTATGAGCTTAAAACTTGAAAGTCAGAAGAATTTTCTCCATTAACTGTTTTCCTCACCAGACCTGACCACCTGGATTTGATAGGGCCCTCATCTTTCCTTAGGCCTTGTCCTCCTAAACACTCTCCTTCATCATGCTTGGCCTAATCTGAGCAGATCTGTCTCTACATTCTCACCCATAAGAGGCAGCTCCATGGGGTGGGGGATTTTGAAGGTGACTGCATTACCGTGAAACTTTTCTCCCCACCTCTCGCTGCTAGAAACAGCCTCCCTTCTTCCACCTACCAGCGTTGATGTGGGAATGAGGTTTCTGGCACTGCTACTGAACTGTAAATTGACTTCAGGCAAATTTTCTCACATTTTTTCTTATCCTTTGTCTAATCTGTTTAGATTGTCAGAGTTTTTTAGGGCGGGGATTATGTCCATATTGGAACTTGCATAGCAGAACCATATTAAGCCTATCACTGTGCTGTTCAAAACCAGGTTTCCCTGGCCATCAGATTCAGGACCTTTCCTGAACTATGATATGGTAAGAGACAGACCCTTGCAGTTAAATGAATTTGGGACTTTAAAACATCCCTGCAGTCACCATATTCTCAGGGGAGCCTCCTGGACCTCTCGGCCTAGATAGAGCAGCCTTGGGGTGGCTCCTCTTTGTTCTTGGGTTGCCCATAAGGCCTTCCACATTGTGCTAAGAAGAATTGAAATGAGGGCACTTTATCCTTATTCCCTTCATCCTCTCTTCCCCTTCCTTGCTGGCAGCCCCATTCATCAGCCTCCCACCCCAGTGAAGTGGTCATTGAGACCTCACGTGAATTTGATATATTGAAAAGTAGAAGCAGCAAATGAAGGATGAAAAAAAA